GGGGCGGCGGGTCTCCCCGTTGCTTCAATCGCCTGCGGGCGGCAGGTTGGTCCGCACTGCCCGGGCCGCGTACCCCGTGGGGGAGATGATCGGGGGCCCAAGGATGTTTGTGGGAGACGCCATTCGTCTGAGAAGCTCAGATGTTGCTTCCAAAGCCTAAAACTTGTAACCACTTTTGTTGGGGGAATAAGAAGATGTCTCTGCTGCTTCTGCTGTTCCCCAAAGCAGAATTCAGCTCTAAACACTGCCAACTCCAAATCCTGATACTACTTACAGTAACTTAAATTACTGCCCGTGTTAATGGAGTGCGTGTTTTTACTCTAAAAATGCCGATGTACAGCTAAGTTCTTTAAAAGCATGCAGTCTTGCTTCAGTCGTGGGAACTTCTGCTTTTTGGTTTTATTGGGGTGTTTCAAGCCAGTGGAGGAAGATGAAGGACGAGCTCCAGCTTCTTATACTCTCTGTCGTTCTCCAGATTTATTCTCCAGGCTGCAGCAATTTTAGCACATACAGAGCACCCAAAGGCACCGCAGTCTTTGAAATTAACATTTAGCTTGTAGAAGCTGATGATTTTGCATTTTAAAAAAAAAAAGATCTGTATCTCCTAAGCACTAACCTGAGTTTGCCGTAATGAGTAGTTTAGTAATTACTAAAAACTGCTGAGAGAGTCGCAGTTATTGTTTTGGCCTGAAAAGGCCTACGTGTCATGTTAAATCATGTGAGTATGCAATTAATGTTGCATATGGACTGAAAACTAGATTTGTTTAAAATCCTCAGTTTCAGTTCTGTTTCAGGCTGCAGTGGCTTGGTAGTCCAAATATAAGATGAAGAGTGAAAACAAAACAGATATGAAAGGAATTAACCAAAAATCTGGCATTTTCATTTAAATCACTTAAGTATTTCAAAGTTTGTCCGTCTTGTTTTGACTGCTAGCTTAAATGACTTTATTTAATGAAAGATACACTGGAAAACCCGGAAATTAAATTTGCCCTTGCGGTTATATCCATGTCTGGTTACAGACTACAAAGGAAACATTAGTTTTGTTAAATCAAGGCAGACTTCTCAGATTGCTTCAAATCGGATCTTTGTGGAGATTTGTTAGAGCCTGCCAGTTCGCTTGCCAGAAATGGGTATCGGGTTCCTGCTTTTCCAGTTCTTGCCTCCACTGTGTTGTTTTGTAGGAGTCGCAGCGGTGGCCAAACTTCGGTCAGATTTTTGGCCATGGCAAGTGCTGCTGCTCACCCACAGCTGGTACAGCGTGAGACAGAGCAGGACGGCTTTCCTCTGACCATCTCTCTGGCTTAGGAGTCCCATAGGGACTGCCTCTCCACAGCAAGGATTTCCACCCAGGCCTGTTCAGCCCTTGGCCTCTCACTGGCAGGTGTGGCAGAGGTTAGTCAGGGTGATTTTGAACCATCCTCTTTTTAGTAACTGCTCTGGGAATAAGCAAACAGGCCATGCAGAACAGCAAAGAGCCTTCAGGGCATGATAATTTTCAGCCCTGTGACTGAATTACAGGTTGTTTGGGTGGGAAAGGACTGCACCTTCCAGCAAGCACGGGGTCAGCAGCCCCAGGCTGCCCTGAGCTTTGTCCAGTCAGGTCTTGAAAACATCTGAGGATGGAAACTGCACAGCTTCTCTGGGCAACCTGCTGTGCTGCAGGAATGTCCTCAGGGTAGAAGTTTTTCATTATATCCAGTCTGAATCTCCAATTTATGACCATTGGGTCTCATTCTTCTGCCTCTCAGTAAAAAGCCTGGCTTCTTGTAGATACTGGAAAGGTTTCCTGAAGGCCTTCTCTTCTCCAGGCTGAGCAAGCTCATTTTCTAAGCACAGTGTGAGTGCTCCGACCATCTGACCTCATGGTGGCCCTCTGCTGAACTTGCTACAGTTTATTGTCATCTTTCTTGTACTGGGGGCACAAAACTAGGCACAATATTCCAAATATGCTCTAACAGGTGCCAAGTAAAGGGCAGTAATTGTTTCCCTCTCTCTTCTGGCTTGGCTCCTGCTCACGCAGCTCAGTAAGCTGTGACCTTTTGTTAGTACTGTGGTTAGTTCAGTGTCCACCAGGACCCCCAGACCTGGACCGTGACCATGACCTAGCAGGGTGTGTTGATACCAGGTCTTTCAGAGAGTGTTTCTCTCTGGGCTGTTCCTCTCCATACTGAATCAGGATGCCTGACTGTCACATGCTGTGGTGAGTCACTGCCACGATTACACTTGTCCTGACAAGCCTGCGGCCCCATGCGACTCTGAGCTGTCTGCAGTCACGGAGCCCAGTGTTCAAGCCTTCTGGTGGAAATACAAAATGTGCTGAGGCAGGGCAGTTTTGAGACCTGAGAAGCCAACCTTGCACAGCGCCTAGGATTGCTAAAGGAGCACGGAACAGGGTAGGGACAGTGGAATACTTATGTCCACCCTCTCCCCCTCTTAAAATTTGTAGTAGTAGCTCTAATGATGGAAACTGAGATGACTTGCTGCGCCCTCTGACTCAGGAGGAGGGAAGACTGAATCACTGCACTTTCTGAGGCTGTGCCTTTCCTTGCATCCTAGAGTGCAAAGCTGCTGGGAGCACTGTGATTTCCATATGGCAAAAAACCATGTGTACAAAAGCATCCAAACATCGTGATCTTACTTTTGATGGACTGTTCACAGCCTGAAAGAAGCACAGAGGTACAGCCTCTGAGAGAAGATGTACAGCATGGTCACAGCTCCCAGGAACAGGATGGTCACTGATCAGCTCTCTTGGAAAAGCACCAGAGTTTGGTCCTGCGCCTTCTTGGTGCTGGAGAAGTGGGAGAGCATCCCCTGTTGCTGTTCCTACTTCACCTCTACAGCACCTGAGCAGAGGCAAACAGGCACTTCCCCCAAGATTCAGGCAGCATAGGGAATGTATTCATTCCCCTTGAATTTAGGAAAAAGGGCAAGTGCACCATAGAGCTGGAACAAGCAAGCTGTTGCACTGGGAGTGGAGGGAGGGCCGCGTAAAATTGCAGCGCAGGAGGTAAGGCCTGGGTAGCACTGCGCTTGCAGCAAGGACTCCCAAGACTAATTCATATTGCCCTCATAAACAAAGCCTGAAATCTTCTGCTTTCCTGACCAAGGATTTTACTTCATAGCCAGGATGTCCTAGAGAGCCAAGTGTGAGAAATAAATGCTGCAACTTATGTGAGTTCATGCCTCCCTCTGGGACATTGGACAAGCTATTCTGACTTCTTGTGCAGTGGTTTTTCACTCTGAAAACTGGGATGATAACTCAGGTTTTATGGTTCAGTTATTTTTTGCAAAATATCTGCAGCTTGAAAACATCATAGATTGCAGCAGACGTGCTGGAAGAAGTGTCAAGTAAGTGGTGTAAAACTTCAGACCGGGGTAGTTTGCTTTCAAAGCTTGATTTTTTGGACGTCCTGTGATGCTGAGTCTGTAAGAACTTGTTCTGAATTTGAAAAGGGAGCTAAAGCTGAAGATGGCCCTTTTTCTTCTTGTAAGAATGATGCATATTGAAAAATTCTCTTTAAAAAGACCTACAGTCTTGTGCACATAGATACTGAACCACTTTATATTTGTTGCTAGATATACAGGACAGAAAGGGAAGCCGAGACATCAATAGGGGAAATAATTTGTCAAAATAAATCTTCTAGAATACCCACACAGTTGTCTGTTGGAGGCTCCAGACTTGGTGTCAGTCTGTGGCAAATGAATCACTCCGCTGGGTTGGCTTTGCTGCCTGTCTTGCTTTAACTTAACAGTATTCATTTTGATCTTTTAGTAACTTGCAAAAGCAGGAACTCTGTGTGTGGGAATTCAGCAGCACTGACCTGAAGGGTACTGAGGCACGCTGATAGCATGGGCCTTAAGTCCTGAGTCCTTGAATCTTGCATCAGTCTTAAGTAATCTATTGTTTCCTTAAGGTGAAACCTCAGCTAGAAGAAAAAGAAGGGAAAACCTTTGATGTCTTCACTGCAGTGGAGTTTAAAACTCAGGTGGTTGCTGGAACAAACTACTTCATCAAGGTAGGGGACACGTGGCAATGGGATTTTTATATTTATGTTTAATTAACATGTATAATATGTGGAATGGTGCTTTGTTTCTTCTTTACTTACCTACAGAGGGATGATTATGATTTGGCCTTAATAAAAAAATACCTGTGCATTTAAAAAAAAAATCCCTCCTCACCTCCAAGCCCACCTCCTTGCCTGTATTAAATGGAGCTAAGAGTGCTTCTCTATTTTCATAATGGTTTTTACTCT